ATCATATACAAAAATGGAAATCTGAATTTAAGAACTTCTAAAATGTGATTCCCGCACTCTAAGCTGGTATTTGATTGTGTTTTCCCGTCCCTGTTCACCTCGATGTTCTACATACTTGGTGTTCCTTTCTGTCTTCAGTTTAAAGCCACCCCCGACCAATGCTCCCTCTAAGTTGTGGAGTCTTGTGAGCAAAAATTCTACATGGTGAGCTACTGGCATTAAAGTGGTGAGCGAGCGATTTGGCTGCTGCATCAATTAGTTTGCTCTGGAGCCCTTCTTCCTGAGCTAAGAGGAAACTTTTTTAGCCAGAGGCTAAAAAACTGTGAGCTGGCTCACACTAACTCAGCTTAGAGGGAACACGGCTCCTGTGCACGGAAAGGGGGGGCATTTATGGGAATGTGCTTGAGGTGTACTAGTCGAACCGATTCTGCTGACATCTGTTCTGCCCCATGGGGTAGTGGCCAGTGAGTATCTTCCCCTTACTCATACCTGAGAGCCCCTTCTCTCCGTCTGAATGGTTTGGTGTATTCCTGTCTCTGTCCTGGATGCTTTATAGATGTGTGGCCACAGCAGACACGGGACCTTTTGCACTTGTTCTTTGGATGCCGCAAAATAAATTCTGACTAAAGGAAAAGTTTGAGTCCAGTGGCACCTTTAAGACCAATGAGGTTTAATTCTGGGTATAAGCAGAAGGAGAAGGAGAAAGGAGCTGCGGTGGCTCAAGTGGTTAAGACGCTGAACTGCAGGCTGTGGAAGGTCAGTAGTTCAGCAGTTCAAGACCCGAGTTGCCACATGACGGAGTAAGCTCCCGTCTCTAGTTCCAGCTCCTGCCAACCTAGCAGTTCGAAAGCAAGAAATTGCAAGTAGATAAATAGGGACCACTTCAGTGGGAAGGTAACAGCGTTCCGTGCGCCTCGGTGTTTAGTCATGCCGGCCACATGACCACGGAAACGTCTTCGGACATCGCTGGCTCTTCGGCTTTGAAACGGAGATGAGCACCGCAACCCTAGAGTTGGACTCAACTGCCTTTCGAGCAAGGGAAACCTTTTACCTTTATCTTTTTTATAAGCAGAAGAAGAGAAGATGGGATTTATACCCTGCCCATCACTACCCGAGGGAGTCTCAGAGCAGCATTCAATCTCCTTTCCCTTCCTCTTCCCCCCCACAACAGACACCCTGTGAGGCAGGTGGGGCTGAGAGAGCTCTTTCGAGGACTGCACCTGAGAGAACAGCTCCGAGAGAGCTTGTGACTGACCCAAGGTCACACCAGCAGCTGCATGTGGAGGAGTGGGGAATCAAATCCAGTTCTTCCAGATCAGAGTCCACGTTTGGGAAAGCAGTTATTTAATCCAATCTTAGCTATACTTGTCGCTCAGTTATTTACGCCTCTTGACTCTAATTAGCCCTTTCCTGGCAACTAACCCCTCGCCCACCCGCTCTCTACCCATATGTAATGGTTGAGGAAGTCTTGTATTCCATGTATCTGAAGAAGTTTGCATGCACGGGAAAGCTCATACCCAGAATAAAACATTGTTGGTCCTTTCCCAGTGTTCCTCTGTGACCTTTCTTCTCGCCTGAGGCAGGAACTTTTTCAGTTGGGTCATCGGCCAGTTTACTTATTGTGGAGTCAGCAAAGCCATCTGAGTCTCCCATTTCTAACCCAGTTGACTCTAATAAAGTGGAGAATGTCTTCTCAGCTGTAGAGATGGTGTCCCCAATACTGACTTCTTTCAGGTGTGCTGATAGCTTTTCAGCATGGCTATCCATCACCCCCTCACAGATCTCACCGAAAGAAGTGTCATCTGGTTCTGTGTTTTTGAAAGATAAATCTTGCTTCAGTATCAGGCAGAGGAGAATCCAGGAGCTCCCACTTTTGACACCTTCTTTCTCATTTGCGTCTGCCTTGGGCCCTTGTCCCTCCAGTCTAACATGTCTGCTGCTGCTCCCAAAGAGGTTTCTAAAGAAGTACCCAGGGCCTGCTGGAAACCGAGGAGGCCGTAAGAGTATCCATATATTTCACACTTAGAGGGCAATCTTGTGGATCTGGTTTTCCATTGTTGGTCCTAAAGGTGTCGCTGGACTCAATTTCCCCCCTGTTGCTTCAGACCAACATGGCTACCCACCTGACTCTATCGGAAGCAGTGTGCAAGCGCAAGAAGGCTTATACCCAGATTAAAACTTGGTTGGCCTTCGAGGTGCCATTGGACTCCAACTTGGTTCTGTTGCTTCGGACCAACTCGGCTACCCTCCTGAATCTGACTAGTAAAGGTAAAGGTTTCCCTTGCTCAAAAGCCAGTCGAATCCGACTCTAGGGTTGCGGTGCTCATCTCCGTTTCAAAGCCGAAGAGCCAGCACAGTCCGAAGACGTTTCCGTGGTCATGTGGCCGGGATGCCTAAACACCAAGGCGTACGGAATGCTGTTACCTTCCCACTGAAGTGGTACCTATTTATCTACTTGCAATTTCTTGCTTTCGAACTGCTAGGTTGGCAGGAGCTGGAACTAGAGATGGGAGCTCACTCCGTCATGCGGCACACTCGGGTCTCGAACTGCTGAACTGCTGACCTTCCACAGCCTGCAGTTCAGCGTCTTAACCACTTGAGCCACCGCAGCTCCACTTGAATCTGACTAGAGGAAAGTTATTGTCCTTCGGCAAGACATGGTGTGGTATTGCGGAGGGAAGTATTGGTAGGTGCCACAAGGCATGTACAGGTGTATTTTTTTATTACAGGCGGATTTTATTCTTATTTGTAAGCGGATGATCAAACTTTTCACTGGAAGGGGGGTGGGGTCAGCCCGAAAAAGCCAGATCGCTTCCCTTTGGTCTCGGATGTGAGCCCAGTGGCTCCCAACTGACCATGAGCCACACATTTATGGGCCAAGCGTGGCTCGTTGCAGTCGCTGCGCTTGGCGTCGTGCTGCTGTTTTGGAAACGCACAGCTGCAGCTGTGAGCTGGTGTCTAATTTCAGGGCGGCTTGGCATGTTATGTGTGTGTGGGGTGTGTGTGTGTGTGTGTCGGTGGGCAGATTTCGCTCGCATGACTCAACCCCTGGCAGAAAGAGAAGCAGAAACCGGCCCATCTTTGCTGCAGTGGATTCCGTTCCGGCCAGAGACGAACGGCTAAGTAGCCCAAGCTCTGGGTGCAAAGCAGGCTGAGGTCATCCATGTTACCTTGAAAGCCCCCCCCCAGGTGCTCGGAGTGGACTAGGGGAACTGACCTGAAGCAGGATGTGCTGGACAGGAGGGGAGCCTTGAAGAGCAAGCAGCTGGTTCACCGGCACCCATTCGGAATCAGGACCTGGGACAGCTCCCAGGAGCAGCAGAAGTTGCACCAAGAAAACTCAGAGCGATTCTGCATTGGCTTTTCCCTCCGTTGTTCTACGAGACCCCACGCTGGAACAGAAATTCCCCTCTGCACTGCACGCTGCTTTCACTTTCTTTGATCATCGGATTTTATGGTACCCTCTACGCTGCATGCTGCTTTCACTTTCTTCGATCATCGGGTTTTATGGTACCCTCTACGCTGTATGCTGCTTTCACTTTCTTTGTGCATCGGATTTTGTGGTACCCTCTACCAATGCTCCCTCTAAGCTGTGGAGCCTTGTGAGCAAAAATTCTACTTTGTGAGCGACTGGCGTTAAAGTTGTGAGCAAGCGATTTGGCTCTTGCATCAATTAGTTTGCTCCGGAGCCCTGCTTCCTGAGCGAAGGCAAAAATGTGTGAGCCGGAGGCTAAAAACCGGTGAGCTAGCTCACACTAACTCAGCTTGAACACTGCCCTCTACACTGTATGCTGCTTTCACTTTCTTCGATCATCGGGTTTTATGGTACCTTCTGCATAGATTTATGGCCATCCAGGGGTGACTCTGCAGTCAGCATGGCGTTGTCCTGGGGCATTTGAATGTGGTTTTGAGCGGCACTTTCCCCTCCCAGTTGAGAAAATGTGGAGCGAATGCTAGATGCACAATCGCCCTCAAAGTGCAAGGGAACTTGTATGCATCCAAGCGGGGTCTCAGGTCTCCCAAGGTTCCTGCAGGAAATGTAAAGGGATGGTGTTCTACCTTGGAGCCAGGCATTGTGGGCGCCACTGAATCGCGCCCTCTGCCTTCTCCATCAGGAAGGGGACTGAACCAACAGCCTTTGGAGGTCGGTGGGAGTCATTCAGGGTCCTCACCCCGAAGGACTCGCAGGTTTAAGTGTCCACGCGCTCCCCTTCCTTCCAATGTACCCTCTAAGCTGTGGAGCCTCGTGGGCAAAAATTCTACTTTGTGAGCGACTGTCATTAAATGTGTGAGCGAGCGGTTTGGCTACTGCATAAATTAGTTTGCTCTGGAGCCCTCCTTCCTGAGCCAAGACGAAAACCTGCGAGCCGGGGGCTGAAAAACTGTGAGCTAGCTCACACCACCCCAGCTTAGAGGGAACACTGCTTTCTTCTCCCCCAAGGCAATCTGTGCTGAGTCATTCCGCTGCTTCCCTCAAGACGCGATACCTGGTGGGATCAAGGGGCCACGACCGCTCCGAGCAACGCCCTCCCCCCTTCTCGACATCATTATCAGCAGGGTTATCCCTGGAGGAATGCAGAGGAGACCTCTCCTTCTAGCAAGCGAGCATCGTCTGAGGGATGGGACGCAATGTTCCCTCTAAGCCGTGGAGTCTTGTGAGAAAAAATTCTTCTTTGTGAGCTACTGGCATTAAAGTTGTGAGCGAGTAATTTGGCTGCTGCATCAATGAGTTTGCTCTGGAGCCATCCTCACTGAGCCAAGACGAAAATGTGTGAGCCGGAGGCTCAAAAACTGTGAGCTAGCTCACACTAACTCAGCTTAGAGGGAACACTGGATGGGAGGTACCACACGCTGTTCTCGGCAGCAGCCGTTCTTCTCTCGGTAATGCCCCACTGCAGTAAACCCCACCCCTTCTCTCTGTTTTTGATCCTTTTCCCCTACAGAACCTGAAGTGAGCCTCCCTTCCCCCCCCCATTCCTCTGAATTCCACTGCGGACAACATGATCGCCGCAAAGGAGAAGTCAAAAGCCCCCAAGGACAGCATGACACTCCTCCCCTGTTTCTACTTTGTGGAGGTAAGCGGAGCAGGGTTCCCCAACGCGGTGCCCGTGGGCACCATGGCCCCCGCCCAGTGGCTCCCTCGACACCCGCCAAGCTGTTAGGAAAGTAGGCGGGGGCATTGTAAGGCAGGGCTTGTTATTGGCTGCCCTCATTCAAATGGAAGGGTTTCCCATTGGAGGAGGACTGGTGAGCACCGGGGCTTTCCTCAGTCAGGGTGTGTGGTTCCTTTCCTCCTTCAGCCTGTCCTTCTTCCAGCCCTGTAGCTAGGGGTTTTTTTTGGGGGAGGGGGCCTCAAGGGGGGGTGCAGCTAATTAAGTCAAAGTTAATGACATCAATTCAATTTGGGGCCAGACCAGGAGGGAGGGAATCCCGAAAAAAATGCTAGGCCCCCACTTTAGCTAGTTTGGTGTAGTGGTCAGGAGCACGGACTCTAATCTGGGAGAACTGAGTTTGATTCCCCACTCCTCCACACGCAGCTGGTGGTGTGACCTTGGGTCAGTCACAAGTTCTCTCAGGAGCAGTTCTCGAAAGAGCTCTCTTAGCCCCACCTATCTCGCAAGGAGCCTGTTGTGGGGAGGGGAAGGGAAAGGAGATTGTAAGCCGCTCTGAGACTCCTTCGGGTAGTAAAAGGCAGGGTATAAATCCAATCTCCTCCTCTTCTCCTACGGGCTGGCCGTCATAAGAACATAAGAACATAAGAGACGCCAATGTTGGATCAGGCCAAAGGCCCATCCAGTCCAACACTCTGTGTCACACAGTGGCCAGAAATACCAGTGCCATCAGGAGGTCCAGCAGT